GGAAGGGGGTAAGAGAAATTGTGTTCCTTTCATGTATTTCCTGCCTTGGCCTACCTGTCACTCCATTTTCTCAGCAATGCCTTTTATCTCTGAATGGAAGACAAATAAAAATATGGGATTTTAATAGTCTTCTACTTCTCCTACCAATCCATTCTGCAGGGAAAACAAACAGGGGCATAGGGGAAAATGCAGGTGGGCAGGTACTCAGGAAGGGCAGAAATGGGGCTATGATGTCTATTGTTTGGTTTTCATTGGCATTTGTGATAACCACCCTGAGGCAAAGAAGTTGAGGTGCTGTAAGGTAAGTAGGCTATAGAACACTCTAGGATCCAAGTTCTCCCCATTTACTTCTGCTTGGGACTTTTGTTATTTCCTCCTAAAGGACATTTGTTTCACCCTTTTAGGACACATGGGAAGTTGGAGATGCTGGAAAAGCAATTTTCTTTTCCTCTCCTTCTTAACCATTTCCCCTAATCCCAAGGCACAAATTCCCTGCTTTGTTCTTGTCAGTGGGAGGTTATTAGCTTCTGAAGCAGTTCCTCCACCACTCTCCACTCATTATCATTACAAAACAATTCTTAAAAGTAACATAAAGAGTACATAGTAAAAGAGATTTATGGATTTAAAGATTTTAAAGTAAGATTTAAAGTTTTTTGGTAAATGAAAGATATTTTCCTTTGAGAGAACTAACTTTGATTTTTATGAGAAATCAATATTTTCACCTTTGGAGTAATCTGGACTTCCTCTGACAGAGGCAATTAATCTTCTGAAAAAAATACAATAGAAAAAAAGAGATAAGATTTCAGCTCTGCTAATTAGCCAAATCCAAATCTTTCTCGTACACTTTCTAGTATAATTTTTTCTTGGCACTAAACCAGGCACAATTCCTTCATCTGAGCAAATTCATCTTCTGTCTATGTTAAATGAGTACACTTCTGAAGTACTGACTACTCTAAAATCTAACAGATGACTGGCAGGAATGTGAAGGTAACTCTAGGTTCTGTATGGCTAGGTCATGACAGCTTGCATGCTCTGGAAGGTCCTTCAAACTGGATAGGTTTTCAGTATGGATTAGTGATAGGACTATATGTTTCCTGCCTGAGGACCAACCTAGCTAAGTTAGAGAGCTCCATCACAAGAAGGATGGCCATCAGATGACACATTTCTGGCCACAGCAACACCTAAGGTATCCTACTAAGCTAAGGCAAAGTTGCAAGAAACATAAATGGAGGGAATAGCCACACCAATAAAATTGCAAATCTTTTTAGGTTAAGGAGTGTCATTTTTATTGTTGTTGTTGTTCAGTTGTTTCCCTCATGTCTGACTCTTCGTGACACTATATGCGGTTTTTCTGTAATGGTTTGCCATTTCCTTCTCCAGCTCATTTTACAGATGAAGAACTGTGGCAAACAGGGTTAAATGACTTGCCCTATAAGTGTCTTGAGACCATATTTGAACTCAGAAAGATGAGTCTTCTTGACTTCAAGCTTGGCACTCTATCTAGGCACCTAGTTGCTTGTTATCCTTAAGGAGCACACAAAAATTTTATTTAGAATAAAATTTTATACTAATATGGAGAGGTGGCATGGGGTAATATAGGGTCTACCTTTGTGCCATGAAGACCCGGGTTCAAGTCTTTTCTCAGACATACACTAGCTATGTGACCACAGGCATGGCATTCAACCTCTCACTGTCCCAGACAACTAAGACTATAAATCAGAGACAAATGAACTGGTAGAGAAAATTTCAAGAGAAAATTTCTACACCAGGACTTTTCAGATGAGCAAAATAATAAGTCCAGACAAAAATCAAAGGGTGTAACACTAGGAATTTTCAAAATCGAATTTTATTTTTATTTTATTATTTCTCCAGTTTTAATTATTTAATTATATAAATTAATTATACAAACGTAGTGAAATGAACATCTACTCTGAATTCTTTCTAGGTGGTGAGCACACACTATTCCTTTTGCCTTACACTTTTATCAGATTAATTTTTTTTCTTAGAAATTTTAGTTCTCATCTTATGACACACAATTTTTCCTCTATATGTAACCATCCTGACTCATTAGGGAGTGGAGAGAAAAAGTCATAAAAAGCCATAGTTGCTAAATATTACTTTTAAAAAATATTATTTGCTTTTCAAAGAAAGATTACATTATTACAAAGATAAAGTGCTGAGGCATCCAAATTTTGCATCACATACTAATAAGAAAAAACTGACACCACATTTTTTTAGGAGGTAATCTAGTCTATTCAAAAATGAACATTAGAAATTAAAAGCTAGCTCACAAAAAAGAGTAAATATCTTTTAAAAAGTGATGCTGTATAATATACACCAAATTTCTACATTACACATTTGGAAGACAAATTATTTAATATGTTTAGTTTCAATTTAACATGATAGGTATTGTTACTTAATTTGAAGGCACAATTGTGTAACTAGACTTTAAGCTTCACGAGGGCAGGGAATATCTTATCTGAACTGTATGTCCTTCAGTGCCTAGGACAGACAGTGTACTGTACATAGTAAATGATTTGCTGAATGAATAACCACTCTAACTCAAAACTGACCACGTCAGATCTCAGGGGTTTTAAATCCTAAAAATTCCTCTATTGACAACCTATAAAGACTACCTAATCAGCTTTGTTGCTTGGTCAATCAAGAAGAACCTGGGAACTATTTAAGAAATGTTCAGTTCAAGACAATTCCAAAGGACTTATGATGAAAAATGTTATCCACCTCCAGAGAAAGAACTGATGGCGTCTGAATACAGATCAAAGCATACTTTTTTAATCTTTCTTCTTCTTCTTCTCGTTGTTGTTGTTTGGTCTGTGTTTTCTTTTGTAATGCAACTAATATGGAAATAATGTTTCTCATGACTGTACTGTCTCAGGAGAGAGAGAGTGGAGGAAGGGAGGGAAAGAATTTGGAACTTAAATTTTTATTTAAAATGAAAGTTAAAAATTGCTTTTATATTAATTTGAAAAAAACTATTAAAATTTCACATATAAAATAAAAAAAAGAAATGTTCAGTTTAGGTTCTTAATTCTTAATTCTGAATTTGTGTCTCAAGAGATAACAGCATACCAAAATACAAAAATCAACAACCAGGTTAAAATAGATTACTACTCAATTTGTCATTTCTTGATTTTTCTCTTCTTTTTTTTTTCTATGCACAGTAATTGACCTAGATATCTATATCAGAATTATTTGACAGGAGGGAAGACAGAAAATGTAAAGAAATGGACTCAGGGAATAGAGTTGAAAATGCTAGTCACTGAAAACTGGCTTACAAATCACAACTTAGAGAGCAGTACTGTTAGTGGCCCCCACTGTATTTTTGTGACTGAAAAGAAAAACACTAGAAAAAAGGAGGAATTATGCAATGTCTCTCAGGGAAAAAGCATACTATAAACTCATGTTTATGATAAATGATAACAATGAAGAAAACAAAGATTTTACAACTTTCTTATATTGCCCTTCATTTATAGAAGTGCAGATTTAAAAGGATCACTGTGCATCAAGTGAAAAAGCATTTCAGTTAGTATGTTTATCCATTTTACAGCTTCTTTTCATTACTACTTACAGGGTGTTATTCTAACATTAATGGAACTCAATGAGCAATAGGGCTGGCTGAGGAAGAGTCTGCCTTGTGTGGATATTAGTCTCCAACTCTATCACAACAAATAGTGTATTCTTGTTGGATTTGCTGAAATACTCTGAGAGGAAGGAAGAGACATTAGTGAGAACTTCCCTCTGATAACAGATTTTTCACTTAAAGAAAAACTATTCAGTTGTGATCTCTAGATATCATATATTACATAATTTTAAGGAAAGTTAGAATTTTTTGAAGAATAAGTTAATAAAAATTATTTTCTGAAAATTATATTTCATTGTTTGGTCTCTGCTATGCTTCTCATCTGGAATGATAAAATCATTTTAATCAATGGAGAAGCAAATCTCTGCTACTTATTTTCTAGGTAGATTGGTTGGCATAGGACTTTGGTGAGGTTCTACAGCAATGAGCCCTGTTCACCAGTTACAGTCCTTAGTATTAATACTAAAAAAAACATTACTAATTTGGACCTTAGTTTGAAAAGGAAGATATGAAAAAAAATATCAAAAGAGAAAGAAGGTGAAGGAAAATGGCAAATGCATTCGACTTTCCTAAGAAACGAGGAAGGGTAAAAAGTATAATGGTCCACAATCATAATTCCCAATATGCCTTCTTCCCAGGAAATATACGAGAAATAATATCAAGATAATTAGTGGTCTAAGTTATATAACCAATGAAAGTGTTATATGCCCATAGTGAACAAGGGGCTTTTTATAAGGCTGGGTTAAGTATGGGTAGAATTTATTTCCTTGATTTCCATCTATATTTAATCATGAAAATACCTGGGCTATAATAAAATCTATATTGTTTCTTAAATTTTCCAAAAGGCACATAAAGATACACCTAGCATGCTCTGCAACAATCTTATTTAAAAAATTTTAAATTCCAGTCCTGGGAGAAAATATGAATTAACAGTGGGAGTGGAGAAGAGTGAAAAGAATTTGCTAGAGGAATGAATAAATGTGATAAGGGGTTTAAAAGTATGTCAAACCTTGTTTTCATCTCATCTTTTTTTCTGTAACTCCCAGCCTTGCCTTTGTAATCTACCCTCAGTTTTCTGATATGGGCTCACCCTCACATTCTTAGATATTATTCTGTACAAGAAGGTGATTCTGCAACAAACAGGTATATGCATAAATACATTTTCAATCACCAGATTACAGTGAATGATTGAAGGACTGTGATAAATCTCAATTCTCTTTATTTATGAAGATTCAATTTTTATCTCTTCTTTAAAAAGACAAAACTATAAAATACAGCTTCTACTGGTGTATTTAATATGTGATTGATAAAAATTTTCACTTCTTATTGAAAACCTGTATGGAAAAAACAGTACTGAGATTAATTAAAATAGTTGACAAACAGGAGAGGGTAGTTTTAAAATCACAATCACAACTATTTATTGTACTATGTTATCATGTTATACACATATCTGAATATAAAATAGGTCATGATGAAGTATACATTTTCCTTTTAGGGAAAACCACCTTGATAACTGATCCACGCATTTAAAAAAGTTCTCTTAGCATGCTGCTTTCAGAAGTAGGGTGATACTTTCAAGGATTCATTTGAACAAACTGCTCATCAACAACAGTTTGTAAATGTACATGGGCAGGCTATATTTTCTTCTCTTTTTAGTGTATTTTCTATAAATGAACTTGTTCAAAGCTCAGCAGTACAGGATTTAGGGTACTTGTGGACACCTTGAAGTAGGTTTGGATTCAGTTTCGGCTGGTGCTATGGAGAGAATCCACAATGGTTTTATTGTACTCAGCAATCTGTTTAGTCACATTCTTCATAACTGGCCGATAATCACTCTCTTGACTCTTGGTTGCAATGACTGATTAAGGTAGTTAAGGGAGAAAAAGAAAATCACCAGTAAAATTTTAATCTAATTACGATTATTTCCACCTATTCAAATCAGAACACCTATGGATGCTACAAAAAAAAACACAAATTATATAAAAAATACTGTGCTATTTTAATAGGTTAAGTTATGTAACAAAAGCAAAATATGTTCAGCTTACCCTAACCAGAATCGAAAAAGGGTTTCCTCTCATTAATAGTTTATTGGATTTCAGTGCCAATTTTTTTTCATTACATTGACAACAGGTTTCATCTTCTTGATAGTAATATAACTCCTGATGCTGTTAAGCAATACTTTCTAGTTCCTTTATGTTCTAACTGTAGCTGTTTTTGATACTGATGATGCTTTTTAATTAAACAGTATTGAGGAGGGGTGAAGTTATTGAATACTTTTTTTCAACTGAGAATGAAAAGTAAGGTCCATGCCTTTCAGCAGAGATTTAGCAGACTTTTAGGTGGCATATGACCTGCTTTCATATAGCAGTGATTCTCAAACCATTCCTCAGTAGAATCCTTCAGTTGAAACAAAACTTTAGTAGAATCTTCGTAGTAACATTCTCCATAATTGGTCTTTGATGCATATTATCAAACAACACAAGGTTAATTAAAAAAATAAGTGTTTCAGGGTTTCTTGCAGCACAGCTTAAGAAACACTGACATAGAGCCATAGGCTCTATGTCAGTGCCTAGGGCCACAAGAGATCATATACCTCATGTGTAGCTATAACTGCCTAACTCTATGATGGAACAGAAAGAAGGAAAGAGAAGGAACCAGTGACATTCACGGCAAGAAATGGAGACAAGTTCCATTCCTACTTCCCTCCAGGGAGCTCCTGCAATTCCTAATTCCACTAAAATAGTATGGATGTCACTATAATAGTATGGATGATCTAAGCAGAAACTAGGGAAGGCTAGATTGGGTGAGACAGAACTAGGACAAGGCATTTGTACTTTACGTAAAGTTAAAAAATTGCATTTTTTGAGTGTTACTTAGCTTTTACCATAAATGACATTACAAAACACTGACATACATAGAAAGTGAATTTTCTGGCAATGAAAATACATGCATTTATAAGTGTTCCTGAGTCCCTTCCCTATCCTACCTGGGTGTTGTGAGCTACATTGATGCCTGTCTTGACTAATTCCAGTTCTACTGAGCAGAGAGGATTTCAAGGTTCAGACTTAGTTTTAGGACAGGCTGAAAAAAGTTCCAACCATCTCCCTTGGCCCTTCCCCCTCCATAGCTTCCTTGTTCCTTGCCAGAAATAATGGAGGAGGTGATGGCAGCTGTGCCTAGAGCACTTGACCTCACAAGGTTCTGATTCTGAAGCAGCAGTATGCTGCAGTATCTGGTATGGTTTCATTGGAGGTCTGTGATAGAAACTCAGAGAAAATCACCTGGGCAAGTTTATTAGTAGTTTTTTAAAGGATACATTCTTTCATCACAAAGTTATTTTGCTCATGGTGTTGCCATTTCCTCTCCAAATTTGTAAGCTGAAAACAAGAAGAAAAATGTTAGCAAATTCCTAAACTCAACAACTACACAACCCTTTATGAGGATAAGGGAAAAAAAATCCTCAACTTTAAATCTTATCAAGTCCTGGCATACAATTTTGCTGATAAGGCCTGTGTAAACACAAAAGAAATTTAGAAAGGAATAAACAATAGAAAATAAATTCACAAATATACAATTGGTCTCTAAAACAGCTTTTATTTCATTTGTTTTCAAAACAAAGGACATTTCTAACAATGAACATGTAAACTGACAGATCCTAAAGATTTGATATCTCTCACTTCTAAAACAAGAAGCCATCCCAACATATATATGGAATAGAGGCTGTGCAAGGAACACTGAATAAAAGCTAAGGGATCTGGGTTCTAGTCCCACTTTGGATACTAAGTAACTGACTTTGAGCAAGATACTTCAAATCTCTGAGTCTCAGTTTCCTTGCTTATAAAATCAAGAAAGCTGGACTAAAGATCATGACTTAGAACCAAAAGGGACTTTAGAGATCATTTCATCCATGCCCTCTTACATGAGAAAAGATCTCAGGAGGTAAAGTAAAAGCCCAAGATCATTCAGCTAGATCTGACACATTCTGTGTTTTGTCAGATGCTGTGTATCTACTTTAGAATTTGTGAAGTCTAACACCACAGACGATACTATATATCCTAACACTGTCAAAGGGTTCAGCTCTATAGGAGAAACTTCCTTATTCCAGTGCTGAGTTTCCTGACTGAAGCCAGAAGCTGCGATAAGAACAGAGCTGCAGGGAGAAGATTATAAGAGGGTTGGTGAAATGTTGGCATTGTTTCAATAATTTCAGCATCAACAGGAAGCTAATGTGGATATTATATTGATGGCTGCTTCCTCAGAAGACAATTTGACTAGTATAGTATTAAACTGGGTTTAAAAAAAAAATCTGTTCAATGAATCAGGCTTTTCCTTTATGAGACATATTTGTATGTATGTGTATATATATATGTGTGTGTATGTGTATCTATTTTTTCTAAGCAAAGCATGATGTAAAAATGCTTAATATTTAAAATTACATTTAATTTATATCTTTTGTTTTTACATCAATTTCATTTCCTTAAAAAAAAAAAAGACCTGGATCTTCCTATCCCACTCTGTCTGGAAGTGTTCTTCCTCAGGCAACCCCACCCCCACTTCCCTGTACCCCTAGTTCCTGGCTGTAGCCTCTCTGGTAGTAGGGCTTATAGACATGCACTACCACACTTTGAAAACACTTTCATTTCCAAAAATATCTCTCCCCTCCATCTAATGGTAAGTCAACCCATGTAACAAAGGATAAAAAAAAAAATCAAATGAATTCAGCACAACCAACCAACACATCAATTGTACTGACAGTATATATAGCTTCCCCATTTCTGTAAAGAAGGGAGAAAAATGCATTTATTTTATCTTTTCTTTGGAACCAACCTTGGTCATTAAAGTTATACAATGTCCAGTTTTGTTTTGTTCTATTTGCGCTATTGTAGTCATTATATAATTTTCCTGACTCTTATTTCACTCTGCATCTCTTAATACATGTCTTTTCATACTTCTCTCAATTCTTCACATTCCTTGTTTCCCTTGGTACAGTAATATTCCATTACATTCATGCACCACAATTTGTTTTCCATTCTTTGTTATGATAAAATGTGCTGGTATTAACAGGTTGGTGTATATATGACTACTTAGTTTTCAAAAGGAAAAAATGTTTCAAAATAATAGTCATGTATATCTGAAAGGGAAAATGAGTTGGCAATTTAAAAAGGTCTGATCATGTAAGTCATCTACTATTAGCACTAATTGTTCTATTCAGAAGTTAAAACTCTTTTGAAAGTGAAAATTCAGTCTTAATGTAACATCTGTCCCATTTGCCCCTTTCAAACTGAGGTAAATCCAGTCTAGTGAATTATGTAAACTCTATCTACCATGGGCTAACAATACTAAATCTTCTACACTTGGTGCCCTAGATAAGGCCTTGAAATTAAAAAGGAACTTAAGGAAACAGTCTGCACTTTCTGGCAATAATTCTTTACAACAATCCTTTATAAATTCAAGTACTAGGACTTTTTTATTTCTTCCATACAACAGAGTAGTTTCCCTACAATGCAGTAAACATCTGAAGTGCTATGTGATCTATGCTGTTCTATACTTCAACACAGCTACATTTAAAGTTTTATGTCAGGCATTTAATTTTTTTGAGATATTACTTCACTTCAATTTAAAATTTATGGTAATGTAGAAATAGTGAAGGTGAAAGTCATGCTGTTACTGTGGAAGAAATCCAATATATTTAAACTGAGTTTTAACTATAAAGTATACTAAGTTCAGAATTAAGGAAATTCACAGAAGACTATTAAATTGTTACATTAATTTTCCAACTTATTTTCTAGGCATTCTCAGGAAAATGCTAGGTGCTTGCTTCTAAGGATTAGTTTGCTACTTTCATATATCTAGATTTACACAGCACAGGTACAAAGAGGAGAATTGGCTGATAAATTTGAATTGTGCAGATGAGTAAAAAATTTTTGAAATAACAACATCTAAATCATGGTATAGACTTCTTTTTTTTTAAATATGAAAGTTAACTTTGAGAATTTCACTATATTCTATTAGATATTTAGTTGTATCCTTAAGGTATCAAGAAATCATGATGGTAAATCATTGCTATAAACTTAATTAAATGAAAAATCCTATGTCACAAAATTCTTGATATTTCAATTTTGGTTTCCTATGTGTAGACATGGTCTTCAAATTGTGAGCCTGACTTGAAATGAAGACAGTAAGTCTTAAGACTTACTATGGGGACCTGCTTCTGGGAGAACATATCCTTTATTCCCCTGTTCCATGGGTGAGGACAGATTCCCCACCCACTGGCTGCAGGAACAGGCTATGTCTCTAAAACTACCAGACTAATACTGTCTTATTCTCTCTAACAGTGTCCAGGGTGATAACAGTGCTGAAGGTCCTGTCAACCCACAGTATGGGCATCATGAAGTAGCTGAATAGGGGAAAGGGGGAAGGCTTATTTCTCCCTCTTCTAGACTGCACGGACTCAAGAAACAGCCTGGAGGTTTTGATCTATTTTATTTGTCCTTTTCTTCTTGACTTCTCTGTAGCCTTTGACAATGTTGATCACCCTCTTCCTTTTGATACCTTTTTCTATCAAGGTTTTCATGACATTCCTCTGTTCTAGTTCTCCCACCTATTGGCAGTTTCTTCTTTGTCTCCTTTGCTGGATCTTCTTGAGGACACTGTAGAGTTCAGCTACAGAGCAGATTATATTTCCCAAAGTACTTGCAATTCTGATATTCTATGAATTGTCCACTTGAACATTATATTATTAACTGTAGTTACATTATTCATTAATTACATTATTTTATTACATTTACATTATTACATTAATAGTTAATTGTATATTTAAGTGCTGTGAGACTGCAAAACAGAAAAAAAAATCAATGTTGGAAAATGAAGTTAAATACACAAGACTTCATAAAGTCTAAAATTTAGATTGGCAAAAAGGAAAGGGCCAACTGTTATTCTGGGTAGAAAGACTAGCACAGCAAAATCAGAGGTTATTTGGTAGAAAGAAGGCAGATGGTGACGTGAAAGAAGTATTTTTGCCTAGCACACTTCTTTTACAGCAACCTAGAAAACACACCAGACCAAATTCTGATCAGGAAAACCAATAAAAAGTAATGGTGACTATTTTTCCAGCCTAGGGCAGTTTAGGAAGACAGAAAGAGAAGTCTAGGAAAATGGGTCAGGGCTGGCCAGAAGTGCAGTTTAGCAACAGCAGAAGCAGTAGCTGCTGGATTGGAAAGCATTACTGTGCCCAAGGACTGAAAAGAAACTTAGAGAACCAGGACAGGAAGCACTGAAGTAGAATGAGATCCCAGGGGACATCTGAACTAGCACTGGGTGCCATCTGGCAGCTTTGTCACCCATTACTAGTTCTAGATCACAGATCCATGGTGGACAGGAATGGTCATAAGCAGGCTCAAAATTTTTGGGATGTAGCCAAAGCAGCACTTAGGGGAAAATTTATATCTCTAAATACTTACATAAAATAAAAAGAGAGAAAGAGTAGATCAATAAATTGGGCATGCACTAAAAAAATGAGAAAATTAACAAATTAAAAACCCTAATTAAATATTAAACTAGACATCCTGAAAATAAAAGAAGAGAGTAACAAAACTGAAAATTAGGAAGACAAAAGAAGACAAAAACATTGAACTAATAAATAAAACTAGGAGCTGATTTTTCAAAGGGAAAAAATACAATAAAATAGATGAACATTAGTTAATCTGATTTAAAAAAGAAAACCAAATTACCAGCATCAAAAATGGAAAAAGGTGTATTCATAACTAATGAAGATGAAGTGAGAGCAATTACTTGGAGCTATTTTGTACAATTATATGTCAATAAAACTGACAATCTAAATGAAATAGATTAATATTTACAAAAATATAAATTATTCAGTTGAACAAAATAGGAAGTAGAATACTTGAATAGCCCTTAGAAAAAGAAATTGAATAAGCCATAAATAGACTTCCTAAGAAAAAAAAAACTCTAGGACCAAATCAATTTAAAAGTGAATTCTACCAAACATTTAAAAATTAATTCTAATATTCCATAAAGTATGTGAAAAAATAGGTAAAGAAGGAGTCTTGCCAAATTCCTTCTATGATACAAATATAGTCTTGATACCTAAACCAGGGAGAGCAGAAATAGAGAAAAAAAACCATAGGCCAATTTTCTTAACGAATGTTGATGTTAAAATTTTAAATAAAATATTAACAAGGAGATTACAGCAATATATCACAAAGATCACACACTCTGACCAGGCTAGATTTATACCAGAAGTGTAAGGATGATTCAATATTAGGATAAAAATTATTAATAGATGCAGAAAAAGCTTTCAACAAAATACAATAGCCATTTCTGTTTAAAAAACATGAGAAAGAACAAGAATAAAAGGCATTAATTGCTTCTTATTACTCTATGATAGGGGATATCCATCAATTGAGGAATGGTTGAACAAATCATGGTATATGAATGTACTGTACTGTAATGTAATGTACTATAAGAAATGATGAAGGAGGTGGTTTCATAAAAACCTGGGGAGACCTGTATTAACTGATACAAAGTGAAGTGGGAAAAGAACGATTATACAGTAACAGCTACATTATAAAAATAATCAACTGTGAAAGACTTAATAATTCTGATCAATAATCTACCACAAACCCAAAGGACTCATGATAAAATATGCTTTCAACCTCCAGATAGAGAAATGAGGGTCTTAGAGTACATACTGAAGCACATTTTTCTTCTATTTCTTTCTTTCTCTGCTTAAAAAAAATAGCTAATGTGAAAATCTGTTTTGCATGGGTTTTATTTTTCTTTCCTTCTCAATACATGGAGGAATGGGACAGGGAGGGTATGAATTTGGAACTTAAAATGAAGAAGATAAAAACCAAATAATTGCAGCAAAAGAAAAAAAATATAAAGAATGCAAATACAGAGAAAGTTCAGTACTTGTGAAGGTGACAGTGAAGAAATTAGTTTAGTTGGAAGGGAAAATTCTTGTTGAAGAGTTGTGAAGAAAATAGATTGGCAAGGTAGAGTTAAAGCCCTGAATAAGAAGACTGTTTTTATATGATACAAGAGCAACAGAAAACCAGCAGAAATTTTTAAAGCAATGGAATGGTGTGATAAACAGAATGTCTTAAGAAGACTAAATTGGTTGAATTTAAAAGATGATCATTTCTCCAAAACCTATTGGCTATCATGGTCATAGAGAACTGCGGATGACATTTGTAGGAAGTCTGGATGTGGGGAGTAGAGGAGTTGAATTATTAAGAGACTACTCTGTATCAAGTGTTGGGATAAACACAAAATTTAGTAAGATACCATTCCCATTCTCACAAAGCTTACATTCTGGCAAAGAGATAAGACATACACAGATAACTAAGATATACAATAATACATATTAAACATATGAAAGAAATACAGAATAGAAGGCTTTTCTGTAAAAGTTATAGGAAAGGTATTGTTCTGGGGCCTAGATTCTGGATTGAGAAAGAATCAAGATGGACTATCTGGAAACAGATCGGGTTTTATATATATATGAGCTTTTCAACTCCTCCTTCCCAATTAAAAATTAAATCCTATTTTTTTCTTACCTGAGAATGAGTCTCATTCTCTTGCAATTGAGTCTTTAATGTCTCATATTCCGAATTTAGCTTCTCCATTACTTTTTTATATGTGTTTCTGCGTTTTGATAATGCTGTTCTTTCTTTGTGCAGTTTCTAGGAAAAAACACAATGTTGAATATATCATTCAGGATATAATAAAGACAATTTATCAACATTTAAGTGTGTAAAGAATGACAGTATAGTAATCTTAACAATGGCTACATCACTGCCCAAAACTCATGAGTAGTCCAAAATACCCTAGGCCCTCCCCAGCACACATTACCTTCTGGGGACCTGGTTTCATTACTGTCTATCCTGTCTAAAGTAGCAAATGAAGTGACTGAGGCCCATTGCCCTAATCCTTGACTGCCAACAATATTCTAAGCTATGATCATTAGAACTGATCTGCCATACACTACTATCCCTATGGTGAGCAAATTCCTACCACCTATTACTTCCTTTATCCCTGTATTACTGGCAAACTCTCCCCTATCCCTACTTCTATTCTCTCATTCCCATTTACTCCAAATCTAATGCATTTATGTCCCATTCCATAGTGAATAAAATTCCCTTTATTCCTGAGCCCTTCCTCTCACCTACTTGATCTTGCTGAGACATGGATTTTCCTAGATGACATTGCATTGCAAGCTAACCTATTACTGGATGCACACCCTCAACACAATGGTTCTGTATGAGAAATTGTAATATTTCTTGCTCCTCACTGCCACTTCCAGACTCTCCCTTTGCTCATATCACTCAGGACCTTCTCCTTCTTTGAAATTCCATATCCTTTTCAAATCATGGTGGTTAGTATATACTGGTTTCCTTTCTTTCTCAAGGAGAAAGTCACTGTCTCCTTTGTTCTCCAAATCCTGCCCTTCCTCATACTAGATGACTTCAACATTCATGCTGTGCTCCCTCAAATTCCCTAACTTTTCAATTTATCAATCTCCTCAAATCCCATGACCTCCTACTAAACTGCACCTTAACCACACAAAGGAAAAGTTATACCCTGGATTGGATCTCACTGTTAACCACAAGTCCTCTACATTTTTAATTAAAAAAAAAAAAGACATCTCCTCTATCTGACAATAACTCTCTAATAATCTAGTGGTTCAAGGTAGAAGAATCTCAACAGTTTCTTGAACTCATAATTTTGGTATTTCTTGCCAACGTCTACCTTGAGCTGGAGGAAGTCACATTGGATAAGTTTATGTTATTAAACTTCAGCTGTGCCCTCATTTAAACAAAGCAATCTTTTTATTATCCCCTATTTCATTTCTCATAAGAGCTTTTCCAAATATTTCTCTCTCCTCAAACCTTTCATACCTCTTCCACCCAATTCATCTTTTAGTTTACTCAGAAAAGTTAGACATTTGACACACTACTTAGTCTATCTTTTTTTAATCTAAAAATCCCTATACACCATTCCCCACTCTCTCCTATCTCCTATTCTCTTACAATAAGGTGTTCCTTCTTGTGCCTTTGATTTCATTCCTTCCCATCTTCTCTATCAGATTACAACCTCAATTACCCTCCATTTATCCCCATCTTCCATCTCTCTCTACTGGTTCCTTTGCTATTATTGTCTTTAAACACATCTGTCTCCTCTACTTTTAAAAAATAGTGATACCAAAAAAATAAGAAAAGGAGGATCAATGAACAGTTTTTTTTAAAAAAAGGGAAAAGAGTATAAAGAAGCTCAGAAGTTTAAAGAAGCTTGCTATACAAAGTAGCAAGGAAGTGTTGGAAGTCCCATATAAATTGCAAATATTAAAAAAATGAAGCTGCAAGGGAGAGATTTCATAGTTTCACAGAAAGTCCTCTTTATTTATAGGAAAATGTTTTTTGTTGATGTTTTTCAACATGATGTTTTTCCAACATGTTTTTAAAAAACAATTAATTCCAAAACTATACAAACTGTTTGAAAAAATAAGTAAAGAAAGAGCCTACCAAATTCCTTCTATGTCTTGATCTCTAAACTAGGGAAAGCTAAAACAGAGAAAGAAAACTACAGACAAATTTCCCTAGTGAATATTGTTGTAAAACTTTAAAGTAAAATACTAGCAAGGAAATTACAGTAAAATATCACAAAGATCATAGACTTTGACCAGGTGAGATTTATACCAGGAATATAAGGTTGGTTCAATATTAGGAAAACTACAAGCAGCATAATCGATTACATCAATAACAAAAACAACAAAAATCATATGATTATTTCAATAGATGAAGACAAGACTTTTGACAAAAGACAATATTAATCCCTATTAAAAATACTAGAAAGCATAGAAATCAATGGAGCTTTTCTTAAAATGATAAGTAGTACCTATCTAAAACCAAGAGCAAGTATTATCTGTAATGGATAAAGTAGAAACTTTTCCAATAAGATCAAGGGATGAAGCAAAAATGTACATTATCACCATTATTATTCAAAATTGTACTAGAAATGCTATGTATAGCAATAAAACAAGAAAAAAAGGAATAGGCAATGAGGAAAGAAAATTCACTTTATGCAGATGATAATGATGGTTTACTTAGAGAACCCTACACAGTCAACTAAAAAAAAACTAGTTGAAACAATTAAAGAATGAGATAATAATAACTGACATCTATCATACTGCTTTAAAGTTTGCAAAGTACTCTACATACCTTATTATCCCTTGTAATTCTCACAAGAAGCTTTTACTTGTCCCCTTTAAAGCTAGTACTTTGCTTCTGAAACTACTTTCAATTTACCCTCTATAGATCTTATTATTATATAGTTGTTTACATTCTATCTCCTCAATTAGAATGTGAACTCCTTGAGGGCAGGGACTGTTTTTGTCTTTCTTTGTATTCCCAGCACTTATCATAGTAACTGGCACATAGTAAGTAAGCTTTTAATAAATTCTTGTTAACCAACTGACAACTCTGTAAGCCAAGTATTGTTATCATCTTTATTTTACAGATGAAGAAATCAAGGGTAAAAAATGTCAAATGACTTGCCCAGGATCGCACAAGTAGAAAGTATCTTTTTTGGGATTATTGTGCAAGTATTTATTCAGTGCTTATATTTTTACTAGTTCTAACCTCAGAGCAGTGGGTGAAATTTAAAACAAGTATAAGTCCCCTCTAGGTCCTAAAGGTCTATGAGTGTGGGTGCATATATGTGTGTGTGTGTGTGTGTGTGTGTGTGTGTGTGTGTGTGTGTGTTTTAGTTAGGAAGATAAGCTGTACATAGGGAAAAGTTAAGTACTTTAACTTTTTGGATCACAGTTTTGCTTTTTCTTATAACACCTAATTCCTTACTATATCAGATAAATTTCAGAAGTTACTTTATGTTTTAAAATTTCATCTACTGGGGCAGCTAGGTGGCACATAGCTGCCAGCCCTGGATAGAGCACGAGACCTGGAGTCAGGAGGAACTGAATTCAAACCTGGCCTCTGGCACTTACTAGCTATGTCACCCTGGGCAAGTCACTTAACCCCAACTGCCTAAATAAATAAATGTCATCTACTAATGCTATTAAAATTTCTCCAGTGTTTACTAGTGCCTCTTTAAAAAAAAAAAACAACAACCTGTTCATATGTGGCAATTTGAACCCAAAGTAATATTTTTAAAAGACTGAAAAATATTGGTACATTTTTCTATTTGACCTAAATAATTTCATTTTTTTCTGGTAACATTCTATCTAAGTTAAAATTCTTTCTCAAAAATATTATTTAATTCTGAAATGTCATTTTTCTCTTCTGAATATATATTACTTTTTACCATATCTAAATATGTTTAGCTGAAATTGTATAATTTCATCAAATACAATGTATCAGGAAACATTTTATATATTGCTTCTCTTTTAATTTTTATATTCATTTTGACATTTAGCATGACTCCTAAACTATAATATATAAGCAAATAATTAAAAAAAAAACAAATAAAGAACCTTTCTAGTAATGCATTAAAGTGTTATGAACTGAGAAACATCTTAGAGAGAGGAAGGAATACTAACTTAGGACTCAAAGCACCTGGATTCAAATTCTGTTACTTTACTACCTGTAGCCACTCCCCTCCCTGGACCTTAGTCTAACAACAAGTAACACATATCATGCATATATTATCTAATTTGAGCCTCACAGCAACTTTGTGAGATAGCTTCCTTATCAGTAAATGAGGGAGTTAAATTAATATGCTTTCTCAATATCCTTTAAAATTCTATATCCATATCTGTAGGAAAAGAATTTATAGCAACACACCTGCAGTATATGTTAGAAGGTCTTCTAACACTGATAGCCAAATAAGAAACAATTAAGATTCTGATTTTAGAAAGAACATGTTGCCACATTACCTTTTTCTTTTCTTCACCTGATGATTTCAAAGCTGGCAAATCACTATATGTCTCCAGATCTTTTGTCATTTGCTGAATTTTAGCTTTTAGAGAAGTTTGTTCCTCTGTCATTTTACTTTCCAGGAGTTCCATTTTCTGTAAATCCAACTGCAGACGTTGACTATCTGGAACAAAGGTCAATTAGATGATCAATTAGAACTTTAAGTTTTCTTGACAGAATATAATAATCTCTGCCTTACTTCATACATGAAGATAAAATGGGTTCATATAAATGAAAGCACCTTGAGATATTAGGTGTTACATAAATCTAATGCGCTACTGCTGTCCACTACTTGAAAAACTCAGGGTTTTCTAGTTTTAGCAAATGCTAAATAAATTAATTTTTTATTAAAATTTATAGCTTGAATTTTTATAGTACTCTAAAGTTTGCAAAGCATTTTATGCATCCCATCACAATTGTCCTCAATAATAACCCTGTAAGGTAGGTGCTATTATTATCCTCATTTTATAGAAGAGGAAATTGAAACTAAGAGGAAATGAAGTCACTTACCCAAGCTATTAAGTGTTTAAGGCAAGATCTAAACTCAGGTCTTTCTGACTAAAAGTTTAGCATTCTCCATCACACCACCTGTCTAAATTAATGCTTTTTCTTCATAAAATGTCTTTTTAATCATTGTTACTTTTTTCATTGTGAATAATAGGATGCAGTGTGGTACAGCAGAAAGAGCAATGTCTTTGGAGTCAAAAGACCTGAATTTTTTTTTTTTTTAGGCAATTGTGGTTAAGTGATGCTCAGGGTCACACAACTAGTAACAAGTCCACCTAGCTGCCCCAAAAGACTTGAATTTAAATCTTGCCTCTGATAGTAACATGTGTAACCATGGGCAAGTCACTTAATCTTGCAGGGCCACAGATTCCTTATCTGTAAACTGGACTAGCTGGTCTCTGATGTCCCTTCTATTTCCACGTATAGGGTCTTATGAGAATGGTGGTACAAAAATAAGTAGTATTTATTATTAGAGTAAATAAAAAAATTTACTAAAAATTATTAAGTAAAGTTCTGAGATAATACAGCCAAGGTGAAAAGTCAAGCAATATACCTTAACTGCTCTAGTTTATTTAAAAATGGAATTTTGGGATTTCTATATAAATTAGTTTCTACGTCCAGAATTTAAAAGAAACAGCCATCTGGTTCTTATATTGTTATAAACATAGTAGTTTCTGTCAGGGTATGATACTAGAGTACTCTCTTTAGTTAAATACTCGATTAATAGATGGTTTCTACATGCAACATGTGGACTATCAATTTTCAACGAATACAATAAAATACACAACACAAAGATTGGACAGAATCTGACTTTGATGATTCTGAAGACTCTTAAGATCTTACAATGTTTGTGGCATTATTATGAATATTAATTATCATATTTAATTAATTAAAAATCCATGTGAATTTGTAAAAGTCCTGGCTAATAAAAATTTCTGATTTATACATTGCTGGCTATAACTTATAGAACTATAAGAGACCTTAGAAATAACATAGGTAATGCCCTCATTTTATAGATAATAAACCAAAGCCAAAGGAGGTAAGTTACTTGCCTAAGAATATTATAGCCAGTCAATGATAGAAGTAGGACTAGAACTCAGACCTCTAGACTTCTAGGATGGTATTCTTTTAATTTTTTTAACCATATTATGCGAAAGCCAGTTTTTACCCTATTATATTTAAACCATGGTTCTACCAAGATAAAATGAAAAAATTTCTTAAATTTGGAGCCAGAAAACTTGGATTCAAATCTTGTTTCAGATATTTATTGGCTATGTGATCTTGGGAAAATAAGTTTACCTTTCTAAGTTTCAGTTTCCACATCTGTAAAACATGACTAATAGTTGTGTTACTTATTTTACTGGGTTACTATGAGGATCAAGTATGATCAAATTGCTATGACAATTATAATTTTGTTTACCTGGTGGTTCTTCAATTTAGAATGAACTGATTTAGAGTACAAATTTATATGCAAAACAATACAAAGGAAGATGTTGGGAGAGAACTGAAAGTAAGTCTGCAGAAAGCTAAGAGTGAAAACCAATTAAACTATATTACCCCAAGAACATTTCTAAATGGAACTGGAAGGCAATAAATAGATAAAAAACAAAATAGATACTTGTCAGTATTTCTATAGTTAACATTTCTCATCAATAAGAACTTATTAATCACCTACTTTATATTAGGCATTATATTACATTTTGGGGATACAAAGACAAAAAATAAAGTCTTTGTTCTCAAGGAGCTTACATTTTATAAGTGGGGAAAAAAAGTACAAGTATAATGCAGACTTTGTGGAGATTATCCCAACTCACATTTGTTCTCTTGGGATGAATCAGGTCCCCAGAACTATGGTTCCCCCTCAAGGTTCTAGGGATTAAACCTAAGAGGTTGGTGGTTGTTTTTTCTGGTACTATAGCTCCCAAGGCCATTAATGTTGGTTGATACCAATTAGTCAGGAAGATTTAATTAGCTTTTAAAACGGTATTTCTACTAAGGTGGTGTATATATATACACATATATACATATACATATATATACATATATACATGCATACATATATATATATATATATATTATATATCTGTATAGTAAGAGTAGTTGATACAGAACATCCTCCCCCTAAGTCTGGCACACACTCTCCCACCAACGTAGACAGAGTCCAGGGAAAGCAGACTTGAGCTTAGAGCATGTGATGCAGCAAAGGGATAACTCATAGTTTCTGACTGCTTGGAAATCCCTTTCTCCCCTTATTGGGGGAACCTATGAAGTTCCTTTAAGCATGGATATGTAACTGGGAGTCCTTATTGCAGAGATAATCATTACCCGCATATGAATTAATGAGGTCACCAAAAAGAGGAAGTGTATAGAGAAAAGAAGAGGGCCCTGTATAAAGCCTTGGGGATATACCCACAGAAACACAGAAAGGCATAGCGGCACAAATGATGATCTGGCAAAGGACACTAAGAAGGAAAGGCTAGATAGGCAGGAAGAGAACCAAGAGAAAGCTGGGTCACAAAAATCCAGAGACTATCCGCAATATAATGGCAATGCTATAAATATAATCTGTCTCTTGCATTAAAATTAATATTAAATTAATATTAAAATCTGGTACATGAGAGTAAACTTATTTTCTGTGTTGCCAAAGAATTATCTATTCTGATTTCTATTTTTCATAGTTCTATTAAATTATAGTATTTGTCATTAAGCTCCTGTCTGCAATTAAGTCATTATTCATTCAACTCAAGAAATATTTATCAAACATCTCTTCTGTATAAAAACTATGCTAGACTCTGTAGTATAAATGACATAGTAATAATTTTGATGTTCTGCATGAAATCACTTTTAAAAACATTTATTAAATACCTACTGTGCAGATAAGGACTTTCTATTCAACAAGAACTACTGGGAAGCCTAGAAATCAATTTGGCAGAAACTGGGCTTAGATCAACATTTTACATGAAACACTACATTAAATTCCAAGTATTGAAATAACCTAAATACAAAAGGTCAAAAAGATCACATCATAGAAAAGTCAGAGGAGAGTGGCAGTACCTTAAATAACTAAGGCTAGGAAAAGAATTCTTAATGAAGCAGGGGATTGAGATGATCACAAATGACAAAACAAATGATTCAATTACGTAATGCTTTTGCATGGACAAATCGGTACAGCTAGAATAAGAAGCAATTTATTGGGGAAAAAATCTTAGTGAATATTTTTGACAAAAGTCTCATATTGGGACAGGTAGGTGGTGCAGTGGATAGAGCACCGGCCCTGGAGTCAGGAGGACCCGAGTTCAAATCTGATCTCAGACCAGACACTTGACACTTACTAGCTGTGTGTCCCTGGGCAAGTCACTTAATCCCAATTGCTTCACCAAAAAAAAAAAGTCTCATATCAAATATATGTAAGGAATTGATACAAATATATAAAGCTTTGTCAAAGAAATGGTATTTGATTCAGGTTTTAAAAGCTAATTAAAGAATTCAACAGATGGAAAGGCAAATCTATGTTTTAATACAAGTCCAATTTTTGAATTCTATGCTTCATTCAAGTTAGATTTCTCTCTGTATCAGAGAGGCACAGTGCTTCTCTATCTTTATACCTTTGTTCAGCTGTTCTCTGTGTTTATCTGTGTAGAGTGTACATAGAGAACAGTATGAAATAAGAGTGGAAAGGTAAAGCAGTACCAGATTGTGGAGATTCTTAATTTGGTAGACAGTAAAGAGTCACTGCAGTTTTTTTTTTTTTAAGTAGATACAGCCAGTGATATGACCTACTTTATGGAGAATAAAGATTGCTCTGATGGGAGTAAAAGGAAAAAGAAAGGAAAGGAGCTGGGAATATATAAGCCAGTAGCCACAGGGGATGGTAATGAAAGCCTGTTAGAGGGTAGCAGTAGTGGGAATATGGGGAAGAAATGTCATTGAGGTGGAATGTACAAAATTTGGTAACTAATTACGAACATGATGAAGATGAGTCTAAGAGTCTAAGTCTAATTCCTGAGTCACATACAGGAAACTGTGTGAATGGTGGTGTCACTTGCAGAAACTAAAGTAAAAAAAAAAAAAGAGCAAGTTTAGGGAAGAAGATAATATGCTTGGTTGTGGTCATAAGGAGAAACAAAAAATTCTAGCTCCCAAAGCCTTGGGCAAGATATGGAAATTTGCTTCAGTGCAGAAAGATATAAAGCATTAAATTTAGGGGAAAACCTAATTCAAACCATACTTATGAAATAATAGGCTCTTAAACATCAATTATACTGACACTTCTACATCTATGCCTGCTGAAATTCTCTTCTTTAAAGATCCAGCTCCATGAATCCTTCCCTACTTGTTGCTTCTACAAATTTCAAATGCCTTTGTTTTACCTATCCTATTCATATGAATTCTAATCATCTGTGTAAGTTTTATGCCCTTGCTGAATCATACTCTTCCAAAGGCAGGACTTGTGTCATTTAAAAAAAAAGTTTTATGTTCATCGCACCCAATACAGGAAAGATGCTTAATTGTTTGCTGTGAACTAAATGGAGCTGACCCAGAAAAGGGATCTTTAGTTACTTTATAATATAGCCTAAAGATCCAATTCAGGTGTACTGTGAAAAGTCCCTAAAGCCA